TGTTTAATGACACTTTTTGGGATTTAATTATCTGAATTACTGGCTTTGTGTTATTATTTCTGAAGCTGCCCCTAAGCCTTCCTACAACTTCCTGGACTATTTGTGTATGACCCTGATTGTACTTACTCACCTGCTACGCTTACAATAATCACTATCTTTGAACATTTGCTGCTTGTAGGCATGAGTTAGCTAACTATGAAGCATGCAATGGTATTAAAAATGGGGAAGCTGCAGACTTTCAAATGTAGTTGATCACTATACCCATTACCTCCTTTAACACATTGGCTGAGACTAATTGAACTTGGAGTTGAGCACTAGCTTCCAGGCCACCAATCCCACATCACTCAACTACAGTGCAAAACCCTTATTAAGACGAACAAGTGTTCCAGCAGAGGGTGGTTTTTTGTTTTTAGGGGGGGGGGGGTTGGGAGCAGGAGCAATACTAGCAAAGTATGATGAGTTCCCTCTCTCATTATTATGAAGCTCTTGATCTGAGCGATTCATGGAAGGTAGGTCTTTTTGAAGTTCAGTAGCACAGGCTGTTAAAAGAATTTTTATATCAACGTTTATTTCATAAAGAGATCTATAAATTGTATGATTATATGACTCCTCTTATGGTTCCAGAAAAAAGCTTTCAGAAAAATGCAGTGGAGTTAGCCCTATAAAGTCATGAGTAAATCATGTTTTCTGTGTGCGATCCCATATCTTATAAAAATAATAGAGTAAGCGCCTGACCATTACATGAAAAAAAATTAAATGGGCGTGTTGGAAAAACGTTACTCTTTCTCTACTAAAAGAATGATAGATTCAAGCCTTTGGCCATTGGAAAAATGGTTGAAATTATTTATTCAATAACTCAATCTTGCTTACTAAGTGAATCAGTAGAAAAAGAGACTCAGTTTATTTCTTATTGAAATATGAAATGTAAATGCATGCAGCTGATGAAAATTCTTTGCACAGTAATTTTCATGGGGAAATTAATAAAACGTATCCCCACATACAAAGGTGCTAAATGCATGAAATAAAAGAAACTAAATTAATAATGAACCTTTGAAATATGCCTTTAGCATGACTTAGTGCACAGAAGTGTCTTATATCCAGTTTGGTTCCATTTGTGTATTTGATGAACCACTTTTCTCCAGGGTGATGAGCAAAGACAACTGAATACTTTAGTGGATTGATTGATCAATCAATCATTTACAGATCCCCATAACAATACCATTATCTCTATCCCATCTTTTACCAATTTATTAACAGGAATAAAATGGGGGACAGTACAGAAAGGTTTACCAAAATCAAGACTGAACAACAATGTTTTTGTGATCTACTAAGATACAATCTTTGTGCCCCCCCCCCCAGGAGATGAGATTAATCTGGTATTATGAAGGCATCAAGTGACACCAAGTGCACATTGAATGATATATTTATTATCATGAGATATTAGATATGTGTTGCCAAAGGCTTTCATGGCCAGAATCACTGGGTTACTGTGAGTTTTCCAGGCTGTATAGCAACGTTCCAGCATTTTCTCCTGGCGTTTCACCCACATCTATGGCAGGCATCCTCAGAGGTTGTGAGGTCTGTGTTAGATATGTGTTTGGCTGTTGGCGTGCATTTGCTATGACATGAAAGCTTCACATTGACAGTGTGAGAATGATTAGAGCAAGAGGCTGCTTTCTTTTATGTGGGTACCACATGCAAAATTGAAAATTGATTACACAACAAATTAGAAGGGCCATCAAAAACACTCCGGGGAGATTTAAAAGTTAACACTTAAATAGCAAATAGAGGTTGGGAAATAGTTGTGGCGTCCTAGCAGAACAGGGCTCAGAGAGAAGTAACACGATTTTTGTTCCAGGGTTATAAATGTCATTTACTAATTGGTTCTATCATAAAAACACAGAAAATGTTTATTAAATTTCAGAACCTTTGTTTTTGTGGGACATCCTGCAGCACATTTTGCTATAGTTTTTCAATGAATATCTCATAGAGTCTCAACCTATTCAACATACCGTAGTTTGTGGCAGCCACAAAAACAAAGTTTCTGGAATATGACAACTACTTTCAAAGTAAGTACCACACAATTAAACAGGAAATAATAAATTCAAACCATAACATATTCTTTTTCAAATTTTGTTACATAGTATATTTTTTCTGTTCTGGGACAAATCTACTGAATTAAAAATAGCAGAACTGTTCACTCAAGGAAAGTCATGGTATGAGCTTATGCTGAAGATTCAAGTTGGCAGCAGAACCTAGGATAAAGCCATTTTAGGAAGCAGTCTCGTTTAGTAGATGCTTAGAGCCATGTGGGGTCAGACAGTCTACACACAGCAACATGCATTCCATGGCCTCTTGCTCCCATTATAACAGGCATGTAGCCGGGGGGGGGGGGGGGGGGGGGCTTCAGCCCCCCCCCAAATTCTCATGGTGGTTCGCGAAAAGGCCTTACTGGTGCATTATTTAAACTGTTATGTTTATTCATATCATGATCTGATCACCATACTCAATATATCCCATATGCATGGGGATATTGGGGTAATGATACAAAAGGTTTGCTAGGCTAGACCCTCTTTCACTCAGACTCAGCCCCCCCCCCTGAAACTCAGCCCCCCCGAAACCCCCCCTGAAAATTTTTTACCCCCCCCCCCCGAAACGAAATCCTGGCTACGGGCCTGCATTATAATATTTCATCTAGAAAACAGTCTTGGGATCGAATATATAAATACACCCACCTACTCCAGATAGAGCTTTCCCCCAAACCTGGTCATGGGAGTTCTGTGTTTCAAATGTGGTCCAGGCCCATTGTCGGTAGGGGTCACAGTGCTGTGTCTTTATGCAGGGTGAACTACAACTTCCATCCTGTTGAGTCAGTCCCCCAACCCCCTCCAGTCTGTTCAGCTGCTGATCAATTCTTCCATGCTGTGCGCTATAGGAAAGAGTAGGAAAGGGTCAAGGGAGAAGCAATGGGTGCGGTCATGCAAATTCCATACCAATGGAGAGAGGAAGCAACCCTGGGATGTAGCATTCACTATAACCTGCAATGTTCCTGGAGGGAGGGCCATTGGTTAGTGCTGGTTTTGACCTATAAAACCCTATACGGCTCCGGCCCAGCGTACCTGTTCGAACGTATCTCCTTCTATGTCCCACCTTGGAGTTTAAGATCTTCTGGGGAGGCCCTGCTCTCGGCCCTGCCTCTATCACAAGTGAGGCTGGTGGAGACGAGGGACGGGGCCTTCTCAGTGGTGGCCCCTTGACTGTGGAACTCACTCCCCAGGGAAATTAGGTCATCAACATCCCTCCTCTCCTTCAGAAGGAAGCTGAAAACATGGATATGGGACCAGGCCTTTGGGTAATCTGGCAGACTGACAAGGTAATGACGACCAGAATTTGTAAAGGACTATGGTAATGCTGAACGGACTTACGGATTTTAGAACTCAGTGAACGTTGGCCACTAGATTGGCTTTTAGTTATTATTATATTAATTGAATGTTTTAACTTGTGGTTATTGTTGCTATGTATTTTATCTGTTGAATTGTTGGCATCGAATTGTGCCGGTTGTAAGCTGCCCTGAGTCCCCCCTAGGGAGTTGAGAAGGGCGAGGTAGAAGTGTCTGAAATAATAATAATAATTGGTGTCTCCTGGATGGTGGAAGTTATAGCTCTTTGAGGAAGCAGGAGGCTGTCTGTGTGAGTGGGCACCTCCGCCACATACACACACATTTTTAACTTTTATTATGTGTATAAATCTATATAAGATCCGCATAGTTAAAGCAATGGTATTCCTCGTAGTCACCTACAGATGTGAGAGCTGCACCATAGGGAAGGCTGAGCAAAGGAAGATAGATGCTTTTGAACTGTGGCGTTGGAGGAAAATTCTGAGAGTGGCCTGGACCGCGAGAAGATCCAACCAGTCCATACTTCAGGAAATAAAGCCCGACTGCTCATTGGAGGGAAGGATAGTAGAGGGCAAGATGAAGTACTTTGGCCACATCATGAGGAGACAGGAAAGCTTAGAGAAGACAATGATGCTGGGGAAAATGGAAGGAAAAAGGAAGAGGGGCCGACCAAGGGCAAGATAGATGGATGGGATCCTGGAAATGACTGGACTGACCTTGAAGGAGCTGGGGGTTGTGACAGCTGACAGGGAGCTCTGGCATGGGCTGGTCCATGAGGTCACAAAGAGTCGGAAACAACTGAACAAATGAACAACAACAACAACAATAGATCTATATAAATAAAAATGTAATGTTTGTTTGTGGGATTAACATAACTCAAAAACCACTGGATGAATTGACACCAAATTTGGACACAAGACACCTATCAGGCCAATGAGTGACCATCACTCATAAAACACTGAAAAACACAGCAGAAGAGACTTTAAAAGCAAAAAATACCCAAAAATATACAATGCATGCGCATACCACACACACACACACACACACACATACGCCCACACACATATATTCACACACACAACACATATATGCAGACTGGGCCACAGCAAAGCATGGCAGGGGACAGCTAGTTTAAAATAATTTTGTGCATTAAACAATATTTGTCAACACTGAATGATCATAAATCAAAGTTGGTGCTATTTCAACCCTGGAGTATTTCAGAATTTCAGATGAGATGCTCAACATCAATATTAGGTGTAGCCCCTAGGAATGCATAGAAATAAACATACTTTCCTTGTGGAGCCACATGTGGTATGGGGTGCATCTACAGTATATAATTAATGCAGTTTGACACCGCTTTAATTGCCATGGCTTGGTGTGATGGGAGCTAAAAGACTATGTAACAAAATTTGATCAATCTTCTGTTCCTGGTTTGAATTAATTGTGCGGTACTTCTCTGCAAAACTACAACTCCCAGGATCCCCTAGCATTGAGTTCTGGCTGTTCAAAGTGGAGTCATATTCATCACACAGTGCAAAGGCGACGCAGGCGCGTGCCTGTTACTAGACACCCCACTTAGGCTGAAAGAAAAGAAGCCCTCTGACCAATCCGAAGCCGGCTTTCTGTAGCCAATCCAGAGCTGACTTTCACAAACACAAGGCTGTTCTGTTTGCCTGCCTGTGCCTGTTGCTTGCAGATGGTTAGGTATCTCTGGGGAAGAGCAAGGAAGGAAGGAAGGGTCGGTCCTGGGCACTTGCCTTTGCTTTGTGTTCGCCTCCCCTGGCCCATGTGATGCACTCGCTCACCCAGGAGATCCGATCCTTCTCCAAGACTAACCTGCGCAGGCAATGCACCCGGGTGACCACTTTGACCGGGAGGAGGCTCATCGAGACCTGGAAGGATGCTCGGCTGCAGGCGGTGGAGGTGGCCGACGGCAAGGACGGCGGGGGGCCCGCCTGCGGATACGTGCAGGACCTCAGCCTGGACCTCCAAGTCGGGCTCCTCAAGCCCTGGCTGCTTCTAGGTGGGTGGGAGAGGCTGCATTGGGATGGCCACCCGCTGCTTTAATCAGGAGGCATGGAAAGCCTTGGGTGCAGCTCCTTTGGAAAATGAATGCGTACCACTATAACAGCCATGGACGAATTCTATGGAAGCCTGGGAGCTGGAGGGCCTGGGTTCCATAGCATTCAGCCAAGGCAGTTAAAGTGGTATGCATTCATTCTGCAGAGGAGATCACAGCTTTCTAAACTTTGTGTGTTTGAACACACTGTGCAGGCGTGTCACCTAAATGTGATGAGCAACCTTCTACACTCTCACATATCCTGATTATCACATCATCTGCTTCGAACTAGATTATATAAGTCTACACTGCCCTAGAATCCAATTCAAAGCAGATAATCAGGATTGATGTATTGTCGAAGGCTTTCATGGCCGGAATCACTAGGTTTTTGTGAGTTATTGTAGGTTTTTTCGGGCTATATGGTCATGTTCTAGAGGTATTCTCTCCTGACGTTTCACCTGCATCTATGGCAAGCATCCTCAGAGGTTGTGAGGTCCTCTGTTATGAGTTTTCCAGGCTGTATGGCCATGTTCCTGAAGCATTCTTTCCTGACTTTTTGCCTGCATCTATGGAAGGCATCTTCAGATGTTGTGAGGTCTCACAACTTCTGAGGATGCCTGCCATAGAAGCAGGTGAAACGTCAGGAGAGAATGCTTCTGGAACATCGCCATACAGCCCGGAAAACTCACAATGATCTGGATTGATTTTATATGGTAGTATAGAAGTTTATGTGAAATAAAATTATATATATATATATATATATATATATATATATTCACACAAATACACAAAAGGTTTTCATGAGATATGTTGTATGCTCATACATTTTGTTATTACAGTTTATGTATGTCTCCGTATCTCTTATAAGGGGTTAGATTTTTAATTGATTTTTATTAAAGTGGAAAAAGGGTTTCTTATACATGTAAAGTGGGGGAATAATAATGTTAAAAAAAGTAGGAAAATAGAAAAATAAAGGGAAGTTGTAAGAAGAGAAAAAAATGTAAAAAATGTTCTATCACTTTTATCTACTCTTTGATGGTCAGATATTTCTAGTCTCCCTTTCCCTTCATCTTCTTATTTTACAGTCCCCAGTCTGTCTGTTGAATGTTTTATAAGGGGTTAGATTAACCTCCAGTTTTGCTAGTAAAACTGCCCTATATCTCAGGATGTAATCCCAGATTATTTGCTTTGAACTGGATTATATGAGTTTCCACTGCCATATAATATGGGATATGCAGGTAATCTGGGTTCAGAATCTGGAATATAAGGACAGTGCAGAAAGAGACTGTATTACTGTGTAACAGAATGATGCATGTCTAAAAAGAATATCACCAATATGAAATGCTTGGAAAGGTCTGGGATAGATGTACTCCTTTGACCCATTCTTTGTTGGCTCCATGTTTTTTCATACTCAGTATGTTGTTGTTTTTGCATGTTTCTTTGGTGTCCAGAGTGCTCCTGATGTTAATTTGTGTCAAGTTGGTTTCAAATTACGGCAACCCTTTGAGTATGCATCTTAAGACAGTAGCATCTTAGGACAGTAACTTCGAGAACAAAATTGGTAGCCAGTTGGTACAAAGTTCCCTTTGCATATTGATATTCCAGACTGCCACAGCTGTGTCTTTGGACTCTTCTACACTACCATATAAAATCCATATTATCTGCTTTGATAATTATCGGGCAGTGTAGAAGGGGCCTTTGAAGGTGACTATGAATAAAGGTCCTCTGAAAGATTTTCTGTACAGTTGATCCTCTGTTTCCATAGAATCTGCCTCCACAAATACAATAATCCACAGGTTTAAAATATTCTTTAAATCGAAACACAAATGTTGTTTTTGCTCTTTTCTGTACGGGGCACCATTAAACTATGCTTGAGCATCTATGGATTTTGATATCAAATTGCAGCAGATACCAAGGGCCAACTTTATGTAATTCTTTGGTGACTCCTTGGATAATACAAGCTTCTCTCATCACAGGATCACAAGATGCAGCTCATGATCTGGACACAATGAAAAAATACAAGGTGAGGACATGTTTGGGTTTGTTTGATTTTTTTTTTACAAAAGTGATTGCATATTTAAAGCCTGAAAGAATTACATAACGGTCTATAATAAAATTTGAAAAATTCTGTTCCTGGTTTGAAAGTGTTGCTTCCTGTTTAATTGCGAAGTATGTACTTTGAAAGTAATTGTTTCACTCCAGAAACTTCGTTTTGTGGCTGCCACAAACTTACGTTGAATTGGTTGAGACTCAATGAGGATATTAATTGGAAAACAAGAGCAAAATACGCTATAGGCTATCCTGTAAAAATATTTTTCAGCGTAATAAACTTTTTCCATGTTTTTATGATAGAGCCAATTAGGAAATGACATTTATAACCCAGGAACTTGTTACATAGGGTCATTTTTCATCTTCATATTGATTCTTCAATTTTGAAATATAAAAACATAAGGACTATTTTTAAAGCTGTCTATTGAAAACTACTTTTTTCTCATTCCTGTCCTTGGTTTCATGGCATGAAGGTGAAGGAAGTGTTTGTACCAGATCCCTTTGCTTGCAGTTTGACGTTCATAACCATGTCAGAAGTTGAAGATTAAAAAGCTGTCTTGGTTTATTATCTGTCTAATGCATTTCAGGTCACCCATGTTCTAAATGTAGCCTATGGAGTTGAAAATCCCTTCCCTGAGGACTTTACATACAAGAGCATCCCTATCTTGGACCTTCCTGAGACTGACATTATCTCCTATTTCCCTGAATGTTTTGAATTTATTGAGGAAGTTAAATTAAAGGTAATTCTGTAGAATGTGATTATTGAGCATTGGTGCACTGGATTGCTGAATTATTAACATTGTATTTAGATGTGTTGTCGAAGGCTTTCATGACCAGTCACTGGGTTGCTGTGAGTTTTCTGGGCTGTATGGCCATGTTCCAGAAGCATCCTCAGAGGTTGTGAGGTCTGTTGGAAACTAGACAAGTGAGGCTTATATATCTATGGAACGTCCAGGGTGGGAGAAAGAACTCTTTGTCTGCCTGAGGCAAGTGTGAATGTTATAATTGGCCACTTGATTAGCATTTAATGGCCTTGTAGCTTCAAAGCTTCACTGATTGTTGCCGGGAATCCATTCACCTTGTGGGCTATCCAATCCAACCCCCTGCCAAGAAGCAGGAAAATAGCATTCAAAGCACCCCCAATAGACAGCCAGACAAAAGTTCTTTCTCCCAAAGTGCCATATTTCATCAATCTAGAGTTGGGTATTTCTGTTACTCTGATAACTTAGATTTTAACTGTTTTCTGTACACCTTACTGTAACCAAGCAAATAAGTGTAGCCATTGGCTTACACTGGGGCCTTTGAAACCTTTTAATGTTTAAGAAGACAATTATTTTTAAAATGAAAGAGTGTGATGTAAGGCTAACAGATTTCAATACATTCCTGTGTGTGTGGGTATATGATTGTAGTTTAATATTGTGTTTTAAATTAATTTATCTGAGAGTAAATTCCATTGAAGTTAACAGAATTTTCTTCTAGAGGAGGTGGTTTATTTATTCTGTGTCAAAAGCATTGTGTACAGAAGTATAAAATGGATAAAAATAAAAGGAGCACATGCGGCTAAATAATTTTTGACCAAAACCGGGCAACTGCGACTGCCTTGTCTGTAGCTTTAAACAGTTCTTCCTTTGTACATGAGGCAGGGCATTATGGACAAGCATACAGGTCCAGGGTTGTTTGTTCTGCTCCACAGTTGCACAAGGTGGAGGATTCTTTTAAGTAGTTATAGTTTAGGAGAAGGTTACAAGTAAATGTTTTATTAAGTTTTACATTAAACTATTCAAACAGTTGGGTATTGCTGAAAGGCTACAAGAAAAAATCCCAGATGTTACAAATGAGCACAGTAGGCATATTTATGCTCCTTAGTTTCAATTGTGGTATTTAGATGAATCCACATACATCGCACATTTTCCTTTAAGGTTTAACACCCATGTGTGTGGGTTGGATTTCACTGGATGTGCAAAACCAATTTTATATATTAGAATGAATATTTTATAACTGTACCGTGTGCTGCCTTTCGCATATGGTCAGTATCTTGTAGAAGGAAATCAAAGCTCAATCTGCTTCATATAATCTGTTCATTTGATGCTATAGCCTGACAATATCTTGGCTGTGCAAACCAGCCTGCAGATTATTCCACAAGATCTACCATTTTCATTATTTACATAGTTCGGAATGAAGAAAGATAATATTGCACAATCCAGCTTTGTGTTATTTTAGAAGGAGAGAACCCAGCGTATTCTTTACAATGTAACAGAAAGGTGTATTCATTTCATGCCCTCCTGGGGGTTTCCAGTTACAGTTTCCATTTCATTTCTAAATTAGATTGACCATCCCCAATAGCTTAGCATCACTGTTCTGTCTCAGAAGTTTAGTACATCCTTTATACCAGGGACTGGTTTTATATGATCTTCTTGGCATTTCTGACAAATAAAAAGAAATAAAGCATGCTGCTATTGTTATATTTAATATATAATAAATTGCATGAAATTGGACCATCACTCTGGTGTTTTTTTCATTGGGCTAAGCACACCAGGCAAATAATCTTCAGTGATTTTAGACATCAACAGCAATGACTGTTGGGAGGTTTCTTAAGTAGAGTTTAGGAAACCCACCAGCATTTCAGTTCAATAGTAATAACATGAAAAAGGAGGCACTCTGTTCTATTGTAAGAGGAGACATGATGGCCATGTATAAATATGTGTGGGAAAATCATAGGGAGGAGGAGGCAAACTTGTTTTCCGCTGCCCTTGAGACTAGGATGCAGAACAATGGCTTCAAACTACAGGAAAGGAGATTACACCTGAACACGAGGAAGAATTTCCTGAGAGCTGTTCAGCAGTGGAACTCTGTCCCGGGGTGTAGTGGAGGTTCCTTCTTTGGAGGCTTTTAAAAGAGTCTGGATGGCCATCTGTTGGGGTGCATTGAAAGCGATTTTCCTGCTTCTTGGCAGGGGGTTGGACTAGATGGCTCACAAGGTCTCTTCCAACAGAAAATGATTCTAAGGTTCTCTGTTTAATGTTTGTTTATGCTGCTGTCAAGAAACTTGTTGTTTGGTCTTTAAAACATAGATGTCAGAAAACTGTATTGAGTAAATTGTTACCAGCAATTGTTTTCTAAACCTTTTCCTCTCGTTCTCTTTGAGGATGGCGTGGTGCTTGTTCACTGCAATGCCGGAGTTTCCCGTGCAGCAGCCATCATAATTGGCTTCCTAATGCACTCAGAAGGACTCGACTTTACTAGTGCCTTTTCTTTGGTGAAAAATGCAAGGCCTGCTATTTGTCCAAATCCTGGTTTTATGGAGCAGCTCCACAAATATCAACAGCTGAATAACAACAAACGAGGGAACTTAAATGATTCAGACTGACGAGGAAAGAAATAACCTTTCTGGTTGCACTGTAATGAGAAAATAAAGTGAACTTTTTGACTGTAATGTTATGGAAGATGTCCAGAATGACTAATGGCAAACATATCCTTGCTTTTCAGTGTATACTTTTAAAGCCACTTCACTTCACATTAATTCTTGTGTGCATTGGCCTCATTGCTTTACTAGTGATCCCCTTATTCTCTTCACTTGTAACTACCATATGTTCTAAAAATATGTAGGAATAGTCAATATTATACTTACTTTTTGTGTCATTTTGTTATATTTTTTCCTTTTAGTTTTCTTATATTCACTTATAAACTCTCTTTGGCAGAGAAGGCTAAAGGCCTTATCAAACTCTCATGCTTCCTTAGCACTGAGTTGTATCTAGTGTCAGACTGCTTTAAATCTAGATTAAGTTACACTGATCTTCCAAGTGAGTCAAGAAGAGATAGTGATGATCCAAAATAGGGAGGAATCAGATTCGGGAGTAGAGCTTTCAAAATATATTGAAACTATTTTACTTAATAATGCAACCAGTGCAGAAATAAAAATCACACAATCAGGAAACAGCAGGGAACAGATAGCACTCTCATGTTAGAGACTTAAGGGACCTAACGTACTACATTATTTTGGCATTGTAACTGCTGGTGCAAAACCGGTGGTGTTCTGGGATTTGTAGTTTAATAAGACTCAATAGTAAGGATGTGCAATTTGGGAAACACCTGTATCGTTTTTGGTGTTCGGTTTTCTGCTGCCCCTGTTCCATTTTTAGAAACTTCCCAAATTCAGGAGGGGTTTCTATTTTAATGCTGGAAAGATTCGTCCATTGGTGCCAATGGGGAAAATTTAGAGGCTCATTTCTCCATCATTTTTAAGGTCTATAAGCATGAATCTCACCTCATTTATAGGCCACATCTACTGCAAGCCTGCCAAGTTTCAGAAAGTTTCACCAATCCACTATTGTTTGGAAATTTTAAGTTTTTAACATAACATTAAAAAAAAACCCACAAGAGGAAGCTCTGGGAATTGAAGTCCCAGGCACGTGACACAAGAGGGAAGGAGAATCATTGGACACAGTCAACCAGGCCTCTGATTGGCTGAGAAAGAGAGAAACATACAGAGAGAAATACCTCAACTCTCATCATGCCCTGGGAGGGAGCACAAGGCTCCTTCAATGTTTGCACTATACAAAGTGCTGCTGGGAAAGCAAGTTCCCATTCGCCTCGAGGTGTGTGAGTGTGGGTGGGAGGGCCTTCTGGAAGGGATGGAGAAGATTGCTGTGGAAGAAAGCAAAGGAGCCCCAGCTTTCCTGATTTGCGAGGCTGCCCTGTCCACACACTGCCGCTTGCGCCTCTGGTAGAGTGCCGCTGAGCCTCCATTGGCCCACATTATTAGCCACCATTAGCTGGCAGCTGTGACCTCTACTGGCAAAGACTTCTACTGCTCTTTGCCAGGCTCATTTTCATGCATTTGGCAACTGAATCCACTGAATCATTCAAATCTGATATACAAAAACGAAATCATGCACACCCCTACTCAATAGCATAATGTTCAGGCTCACTATTTCAATTTGACTTTTAAGATTAAATACAATCTACATCAAGCTTAAATGACATTAAGAATATCAATGTCTTATAGTCTTAAATCCATTTCAATTGATTTTTTTTACTATTGGGTGCAACAAATGAGACCTACAACAAAACTGACTATATGGGTGCTTCTACTTAATATTTCAGCTTGCCAGCCGTGACTTAGAAACACAGGAAGTCAGAACTTTGGCCCACTTAAGCAAAGATCTTGGGGCCAATCTGGAAATATCAGGGTTAGCAATGTGAATGGAAAATTGAAGTATGATGTATACATGAAAAGATGTAAATATGAATGCATATTGACATAAAAATAACAATATAGTTAAAAATATGATACAAGATGAGCTGGAACATTTTAATTTTTCTCTCTAGATATGTCTCCAGAACACAGCTAAAGATTGGCTGAAATCCAGAGACTTCCACATTAAGCAATTTGTTAACTGTTTAAATCCTTAGAGATATCCAGGTTTTATTTATTTATTTATTTATTTATTATATTTGTATACCGCCCCTCTGAGCCTGAAGGTGACTCGAGGCGGTTTACATTTGGCAATCAATGCCCCACAAGATGAAATACAGTAAAAACAATTACATATAACCATATAAAAACAATTAACAATTAAAACCATAAAATACAATTCTCAGCGTCTCATCGTTAAAATAATTTTCCGTTGCATCGTCTTATCATTTCATAAGTCTCAATTAAATAGTTATACTGCGTCTGCAAATGCCTGCTCAAATAGCCAGATTTTAACTCTTTCGAAAGGTTAGGAGGGAGGGAGCCGATCTAATGTCCCTAGGGAGGGCATCCCATAGCCGCGGGGCCACCACTGAGAAGGCCCTGTCTCTTGTTCCCGCCAATTGGATCTGCGATGAAGGCGGGACCAAGAGCAGGGCCTCTCTGGATGATCTTAAACACCTAGATGGTTCATAGGATGAGATGCGTTCAGACAGGTAAACTGGACCAGAACCATGCACACTAAATGTGTATTACAAATGGCTGTGAAGCTTATAAATTGTAGTAAAGAACGGCGTTCTTTCATATACTTTTTGTGGGCAGAAGGTGTGCAAACTCCACATGTGAGCTATGCATGGGGATAAAGTCCTCTCATAGTTATCTATAGGTAAAGGTAAAGGTAGTCCCCTGACATTAAGTCCAGTCATGTCTGACTCTTGGGTGTGGTGCTCATCTCCATTTCTAAGCCGAAGAGCCAGCGTTGTCCGTAGACACCTCCAAGGTCATGTGGCCAGCATGACTGCATGGAGCGCCGTTACCTTCCCACCGGAGCAGTACCTATTGATCTACTCACATTTGCATGTTTTCGAACTGCTAGGTTGGCAGAAGCTAGGGCTGACAGCGGAAGCTCACGCCGCTCCCCGGAATCGAACCTGCGACCTTTTGATCAACAAGCTCAGCAGCTCAGTGCTTTAACCCACTGCGCCACCGGGGGCTCCTTAGTTATCTATAAGTGGACTGAATTGTTCAACTATGGCCATATTGGTGTGATAGAGGCAGAGCACTCCAGACATCCAGTTATGACCACAAAGACCGAATAAAGAACCCTGGAACTGATTTGTGAAAACAGAAGAATATCAGTCGAAAAGGCTGAAGGAGAGCTGAATGTGAGTGCCAGATCTGCCTATGTCGATTCAGGACAGCCTTAAGTTCAGTAAAGCTTCAAGTTCTGTAAACAACTGGCAGTGGCACTTTAAAGAGTTCTATGTGATGATGTGCTCAACCAAAAACATTTGTTGCTGATGTCATTAAAAAGTTGATAAATGAACCATCTCGGAGGTTAAGATTATCTGGGGAGACCCTGCTCTTGTTCCCACCTCCTTCGCCGGTGCGACTGGTGGGGATGAGAGACAGGGCCTTCTCAGTGGTGGCCCCTCAGCTATGGAACTCCCCGGAAACGTCAGATCAGCATCCTCCCTCTTGGCCTTCAGGAAGAAAGTGAAGACTTGGCTGTGGGACCAAGCCTTTGGTCAGTAAAGTAATGTAGTGATAGGAATGGGTATTGAATATGTGTAATTGACAATTGGAATGGCTCCAGATTACGATTTTGGACTGCGTTGTTTTCAAATGTTGCTACTAAGATGCTTTGACTCCATGTTTTTAATATAAATGCTCATGTTAATTGATTGTGTTTTTATATGACATTGAATTGTTGACTTTCTGTAAGGTTGCCTTGAGTCCCCTTTGGGATGAGAAGGATGGGATATAAATGTGGTAAATAAATAAATACAACAGCATAAAACATACAATATAAAATAGACCATTGCAATTAACCCAAATAGGTTTCATAGTTCTTCCTTGTAGGACATTAACATTATCATTAAAATAAGTAAAAACACTCCAAAACTTCCCGGATGGAGAGAAAATATAATGATAAAGTGCTCTAATTCCTGGGTTCTGTTACAGATCAATTAAAAGCTATTCCAAACACGACATGATGGTGGGCAGCCTCAGACACCCAGTCCCTAATCTGGGTGGAAATTAGCATCTCACTACTCGACCTTAAGGGTCAGCCTGGTCTATATGGTACTTTCATGAAGATATATACCTCCTCATAAAGAAATATATATACACACAAGCATATACATGGACACATGTACATACACATATGTATATATATGTAGACACATATATGTATGTGTATATGTATGTACACACAGATAAAATTGGTTCTGCACATCAAATGAAATCCAAACCACACACATGGATGTTAAACCTTAAAGAAAAATGTGTAATGTATGTGGATTCAACTTAATGCCACAATGAAGAACAATTGAAATATGCTATTGAAATCAATGAACATAAATGTTCCTACTGTGCTCATTTGTAACATCAGAGTTTTCTCTGGCAGCATTTCAGCAATAACAAGTTGTGTGAATATTTTAATATAAAACTTAAGAAAACATCTATTTTCTTCTGTACACATAATAAAAGTGAAAAGTGTGTATGTGGCAGAGGTGTTCACTTACACAGACACCCTCCTGCCTCCACAAACAGGCTATAGCTCCAAGTGCTCACAAGCCTCCAAAGGCATTCCCTCAACTGACATTGCATGTTATAGCAAACGCCATGAACATGTATCCCAAACGCTGCCAATATTCTTCTCAAGCACTATGGCCCACCACCTAAGGAATGCTTTCATTTGGGGACCATTTCATCCTAGATTTGAGGTGTTTCATCCACCACAGGCAGGCATCCCAGGGTTTCTTGTTTGGAATTTCCATGACCCCACCCACTGCCCCTCCCTTCACCCTTTCCTATGGCACATAGCAAAGACAGAGGATTGTTGTAGGTTTTTTCGGGCTATATGGCCATGTTCTAGAGCAGTGTTTCTCAACCTTCCTAATGCTGCGACCCCTTAATATAGTTCCTCATGTTGTGGTGACCCCCAACCATAAAATTATGTTCGTTGCTACTTCATAACTCTAATTTTGCTACTGTTACGAATCGTTATGTAAATATCTGATATGCAGGATGTATTTTCATTCACTGGATCAAATTTGGCAGAAATACTCGATACGTCCAAATTTGTATACTGGTATGTGTTTCGGTGGGGATTGATTTTGTCCTTTGGGTGTGGTAGTTGCTAGGATTTATAGTTCACCTACAATCAAAGAGCATTCTGAACACCACCAATGATGGAATTGAACCAAACTTGGCACACAGAACTCCCATGACAAACAGAAAATACTGGAAGGTTTAGTGGGCATTGACCTTGAGTTTTGAAGTTGTAGTTCACCTACATCCAGAGATCTGGACCAAACTCAATATGCCCAAAAATGAACACTGGTGGAGTTTGGGGGAAATAGGTAATAAATGAGCATTCTGTACCCCACCAATGATAGAATTGGTCCAAACTTCCCACACAGAACCCCCATGACCAACAGAAAACACTGTTTCCTGATGGTCTTTAGTGACCCCTCTGACACCCCCTCGCGACCCACCCAGGGGTCCTGACCCCAAAGTTGAGAAACACTGTTCTAGAGGCATTCTCTCCTGATGTTTCACCTGCACCTATGGTAAGCATCCACAGAGGTAGTGAGGTGGTGAGAAACATCAGGAAAGAATGCCTCTAGAACATGGCCATATAGCCTGAAAAAACCTACAACCCAGTGATTCTGGCCATGAAAGCCTTTGACAATACAAAGACAGAGGAATTGATCAGCATCTGAAAGACTGGAGGGATTTGGGGAACTGGCTTAACAGGGTAAGTTGTAGTTCACCCTGCATAAAGACACAGCACTGTGACGCCCCACCTCACCCAGCACTGAACCCAGCTGATGACAGATCTGGACCAAACTTGCTGCACACACCCAACATGGCCAACTTGTGCATACAGGCCTCGTTTGGAGAGAACTGACCCACGATTCTGGGAATTGTAGTTCACCCACACTGTTATGTATTTTCAAATGAGAACATTAATTAAAAAAATTAAAAAACATTACTTAAAAATTTAAAAAACCTAACTCAAAGACTGGCTTTCCCCTAATAAATAGTGTTATTAATTAACTAAATGATATTAACTACCGGTAATACCCCAAAACAAATAATGTCTTTTTCTAGGTTCTTATGGGTTTTTTCAGGCTATATGGCCATGTTCTCGAGGCATTTTCTCCTGAAGTTTCGCCTGCATCTATGGCAAGCATCCTCAGAGGTAGTGAGGTCTGTTGGAATTAGGACAATGGGTTTATATATCTGTGGAATGGCTGGGGTGGGGCAAAGAGCTCTTCTCTGCTGGAGTAGGTGTGAATGTTTCAACTGACCACCTTCATTAGCATTTGAAGGCCTGGCTGAGCCTGGGAAAATCTTTTGTTGAGAGGTGTTAAGATGTGCCTGGTTGTTTCCTCTCTGCTGTTTTGCTGTTAATTTTAGAGTTTTTTAATACTGGTAGCCAGATTTTGTTCATTTTCATGGTCTCCTCCTTTCTGTTGAAATTGTCCACATGCTTGTGGATTTCAATGGCTTCTCTGTGTAGTCTGACATCAGCAGCGGCTCAACCCATTACGCAAAGTAAGCATTTGCAGTATAGTTGATTTTGCCCAGGGGCGCTCTTGAGGCGCTCTTGGGGGAAAATAGACCTTGACATATGTGAGTTGTAGTTACTGGGATGTATAGTTCACCTACAATCAAAGAGCATTCTGAACTCCACCAATGATGGAATTGAACCAAATATGGCACACTGAACTCCCACGACGAACAGAAAAATATACATCAGTGATTGGTTGGGGGGTGGGGACGACCCAAATACTGTTTGCTTACTGTTGAAAATTACCTAGGACCGCCTCTGTCTGACATGGTGGTTGTGAGAGTGGTCCAGCATTTCTGTTTTTTCAGATAATATGCTGTGTCCAGGCTGGTTCATCAGGTGCTCTGCTATGGCTGACTTCTCTAGTTGAAGTAGTCTGCAGCGCCTTTCATGTTCCTTGATGCGTGTTTGGGCAATGCTGCGTTTGGTGTCTTTTTCAAATAACCCGGGCATCGCCAGGTCCCCAAGCTAATGTACTAAACTCTTCTCCTCCAGAATAAAATTCTGTTAATATATACATTTATACATACACTATCTCTATCCTTCTGACAGGAAGAGAACACTGATGAGACTAAACCACTGAGGTCGCATTCAACCGCTCTTAAGCTGAGCGACTGCAACCTCCCCTTTTCTCTTTACCCCGGACGTGACGTATACCATGAACTGGCGGAAAGGAAGGGCGCTTCCGCTTTATTTGAAAGCGGCTTGGGCAGGCGGAAGAGCGCGAGCGGGCGCGTGCCTTCCTTTCCCTTCCTCGTGGTGCTATGGCTGCCTTCGCTATGGAGCTGCCACTGGCTTCCCCCTCCGTGGGTGAGTCCCCGCGCCTGCTATTCCTTCCTTCGAATAGGCCTCCGCGAGATCCCTTGGGGCCCTTTGTCTTTGGAGTCTTCCCGACCCCTCAGCTGTTTGTATCGCTTGATGGCGCGCGGGGTGGGGGCGGGGGTGCAAGAGGAAGAGAGGGCGGGGCTGCCTTCTCCCAGGTGGCTCGCGGTTGTGACGTCACTTGGCACGCGGCATTCCCAGGCTCCCGGGTAGAGAGAGAGAACTTAGTTGGGCTTCTTGGTTGGGCCGCTATGGACTCCTGCAAGCGCTTCACGGCGGGCGCCGCCGCCTCAAGCCCCAGGAGGGAAGTCACCTTTGCTCCTGAGCCCAAGGCTCTAGGTACGCCTTGCCTTGCGCAGGGGAAGGGGGCACGCGCGTGGGCGGGCGGGAAGAGGCCTTCTGACCTGCTCTTCTCTTCCTCCTCCTCTGCAGGCGCAGAGCCCATGACGCTGGGCTCCCCGACTTCTCCGAAGCCAGGCGCCGGGGCCCAGTTCCTGCCCGGGTTCCTGATGGGGGACTTGCCCACCCCTGCCACCCCACAGCCTCGCTCCTTAAGCGGCCCTTCTTTGCTGGACGGGAGATCTCCCTTGGTGGCTGGTAAGGCGCTTCTCAGTGGGTTTATTTATTTATTTAAAAGTTTTGTATACCAGCCTTCTCACCTCTCTTGAGGGACTCAGACCGGTTTCCAACCATAATATCACATGCAATCAATAAAAAATCATAATACATATTACAGTAAAACCTTACAACAGCAATTACAATCAATAACTATAATGGTCAGTCATCACACTAAAATCGTTGCTCATCATCCTCCATCCATATCTCAGGGTGTTGGCTCGCTCGTCGAATGCCTGTCTCCATAACCAAGTCTTCACCTGTTTCCTAAATGTCAGGATAAAAGGGGCGGTTCTGATCTCCAGTGGGAGAGAGTTCCAGAGTCGAGGGGCCACCACCGAGAAGGCCCTGTCCCTCGTCCCCACCAGATGCGCTTGCGAGGCCGGTGGGACCGAGAGCAGGGCCTCTCCAGACGATCTTAATAATCTTTATGGTTTATATGGGAGAATACGTTCGGAGAGGTAAACAGGGCCAAAGTCGTTTAGGGCTTTATAGGTTAACACCAGCACTTTGAATTGTGCTCGGAAGCTAATTGGCAGCCAGTTGGAGCTGGTGTAACAGCGGAGTGGTGTGCTCCCTGTACCCAGCACCCGTTAGTAGTCTGGCTGCCGAGCGTTGGACTAGCTGCAGCTTCCGGGCAGTCTTCAGAGGCAACCCCACGTAGAGAGCGTTGCAGTAGTCTAAACGGGATGTAACCAAAGCGTGGACCACCGTGGCCAAGTCAGACTTCCCAAGGTACGGGTGCAGCTGGCGCACAAGTTTTAATTGCGCAAAAGCCCCCCTGACCACCACTGAAACCTGGGGCTCCAGGCTCAGCGATGAATCTAGGAGAACTCCCAAACTGCGATCTGTTTTGAAGCAGATGTGGCTATATACCAGGCATGAGTTACCCTGTCTGAAGAAATTGTGTGCGGTTTCCATGGGACCATTCTTCAAAAGTATTACTTCTATCAGTACAGTAGAGTCTCGCTTATCCAACATAAACAGGCCGGCAGAACGTTGGATAAGTGAAAATGTTGGATAATAAGGGATTAAGGGAAAGCCTATTCATTACATTATGGTTTTAAAATTTATTTATTTATTTATTTATTTATGATGATATTTCTACCCACCTTTCTCAAACCCGAAGGTGACTTAAGACGGCTTAACAACATAGGCAGCTATTTGATGCAATTGAAACAATGTAAAAATTGTTGCGCGAAGAAAGAAGAGGAGCCTTCTAATCAAGGTGAAAGAGGAAAGCGCAAAAGCTGGGTTGCAGCTAAACATCAAAAAAACCAAGATCATGGCAACAAGAATGATTGACAACTGGGAAAAATAGAGGGAGAAAATGTGGAGGCCGTGACAGACTTTGTATTTCTAGGTGCAAAGATTACTGCAGATGCAGACTGTGGCCAGGAAATCAGAAGACGCTTACTTCTTGGGAGGAGAGCAATGTCCAATCTCGATAAAATAGTGAAGAGTAGAGACATCACACTGGCAACAAAGATCCGCATAATCAAAGGTATTCCCTGTAGTAACCTACGGATGTGAGAGCTGGACCTTAGGGAACGCTGAGCGAAGGAAGATAGATGCTTTTGAAATGTGGTGTTGGAGGAAAGTTCTGAGAGTGCCTTGGACTGCGAGAAGGTCCAACCAGTCCATACTTCAGGAAATAAAGCCCGACTGCTCATTGGAGGGAAGGATAGAGGCAAAGATGAAGTACTTTGGCCACATCATGAGAAGACAGGAAAGCTTAGAGAAGACAATGATGCTGGGGAAAATGAAAGGAAAAGGGAAGAGGGGCCGACCAAGGGCAAGATGGATGGATGGCATCCTTGAAGTGACTGGATTGATCTTGAAGGAGCTGGGGGTGGTGACGACCGACGGAGCTCTGGCGTGGGCTGGTCCATGAAGTCACAAAGAGTCGGAAACGACTAAACGAATAAACAACAACAAGCGTATTTCAGTCAAGTCCAATGCAGAAGACACATTAACATTACACCCAGGCAAGAGGAAAAAGAACAGAAAAACTTCACTCTTATTAGCAGAGTTAAAACATAAACTTGCAATGTTACAAACAGTGCAACAAACTTACATAGTTTTTGTAAGCAATACAGAATAAGGCTTCTTCATCTTCATCCAAATGAGAGCAGTAGAAATGGTTGAGCAAAATGCCTCAGCAAAGGCTCTTCAGAGCAAAAGCTAAACTGTATTCTAAAAGCCGTACAGTTATACCCTACCAGGTGTGGTCCAAACATACTAGTTGACCTACATTAGCAGCTGCACATAATAATTAAAAGTATAAGGTTTTCTTATTATGAGGGGCCATATTTCATGTTACTTGGTCTTAAATACAGGAGATGTCTTAATTATGTACCAGCAGACCAAGAAAAAAACTTGAATACAAAGAAGACCTCTGGGGAAAGATTTAACATTTGTTTATTCTTTGGATGCCTTCCCAGTTTTGAAGAACAGAGCCTCATTTTCAAAGGCTGATGAAGGCTGCATATATGCAAGCTGGTTTGGAATAGGAATTAAGCATGTTTGCTTGACTTAGTTAGCAAAGCTTTAAAAGTTTGTCATACATTTTATTTTCTCTGAAAGTATCTGAGGTCTCAAGTGTGCCAAGACTATTTTAACTAAAATAGTTACAGGAAAAAAAGACACGCAATGGGATAAACTGACATGTTCACTTTTTTAATGGCTACATTTGTACACAACAATTCAGAGCCACACATTTTCTTACTCTTTAAATATAAACAGAGACAAGTATGAGGCATGAATGCTTGTGCAGCCAATTACAACAATTGAAGATAGCAATATTCTGTTCAGAGCAAGTGAGAAAATGGCAGCTGTTAAGAGAAACTTCTTGTTATTTTTGGAACTTAAATGCTGTTACTGACAGTTCTGGCATTTTGGCAGTTATTCACAAGCTGTTTAAAGGACATTTTGGCACAATATACCAAAATGTCCTTCAGTATACCAAAAAAGTAACATATTTGTATATATGCATCCCCTTGCTTCTCAACTGGAGTAATGACACCTTTAAAACTGCCTAATTTAGCTAGTATATCTGTTTAGCATGTTGATATTTATATAAAACATTTCTTTAAAAATCACATTTGTCATACAATAATTTTGTAGGATTTTTTCCCCATCTCAGCTACTTTCTCTTCACTTGCATTGGATATCTAGGTGCAGTTTCTGTTTATAAAATGGCACTTTTCTTTAAGCAGAGCAGAATTATGAGTACAGAATCTTGGTTTAATTAAACTATGTAGATCATACTATTTAATTTTTCTGTTAATGCATATTTCAAACACCTATGACAGGAGGAAGGCAATAGACACATGTTGTAGACTTACGAACATTGCATTTATCTACTTAAAATATATGCAGAATACATTTGATATCATGGGGTGCATCTGTACAATTATATAATTAATACAGTTTGATAGCACTTTTAACTGCCACGGCTCAGTGCTATGGACTTGTGGAATTTGTAGTTTGGTGAAGCACACGTACTCTTGGGCAGAGAAACTAAAGATTTTGTATCACTATAACTCCCAGGATTTCATAGCATTGAGCCATTGCAGTTGATGTGTCAAACTGCATTAATTGTACAGTGTAGATGCACCCTTAGTTACCTGAGGTGGTCTCGGATAGGTTTGTAAACCAGATAGGTTTATAATGCAGTATTCAACCCTTGATCAACTGTTGTTTTCAGTGAATGTGTTTGATAGATATTTACTTCCTTATAATTGCAGGCAGTTTCTCCAACATTAAGACGTTATGAGCTGCAACATTTAAGTATAATGGAAAGTTATTGTTCATCTCTGTGACACTTTATATAAATCAGATGATAATTCTAATGTACAATGTAACTAACGAATACAAGCAAGATCTGGCATGGAAATAGCGCTTCGTTTCCCATCAGGTTTCATTTTGCAAGATACTGATTGCTTGGATGTAAAAATTATCTCAATAATCACACTGAAAATGACATGCTAACAGATTGCTTATGTTTTTGGTTTTATTTTGCTGTAATATGTTGTTTGGGCTTGGCCTCATGTAAGCCGCCCCGAGTCCCGTTGGGGGAGATGGTGGTTGGGTATAAAAAAAGATTATTATTAATATTATTATTGTTATTATTTGTTTACACAGGTGGAACTCCTCCAAAGCCTGTAGTTCCAACACATAAAGATAAAGGTGGTGCCCCACCAGTTAGAAGTATATATGATGAAGTAGTTAGCCCTGGCCTGGGATCAACACCCTTGTCTTCAAGAAGACCAGTAAGTAACCCTTAAGAAAAGGTTGCACAGTAAAATTAAAGAGTGGCAGGGCACAGCCAAGTGTGTGGACCTTCTCTCACTCTTGGGTGAAGGAGGAGGATAGGATGGGGGAGTGCGAAAAAGAGGGTGCATGCATGTATTCAGGGAAGCAGGGGAAGAAGATAGGACCGGAAGTGCAAGAAAGTAGGATACACACATGGGTGAAGATGGCATGGGGAGTATGAGGAAGAGAGTGCACACCTGGGATTCCTAGATATCTTGCCCGACTCTGTGAGAGGAAAAGGAATGGGGCAGGGGATCACAAGAAGAGCCCTTCATTCTCTTGTGCACATGATGAGAGAAAGAGATGGGAATGGCGGATGTTGGAGGCAGTGGACAGAGGGAGCAAGGGCAGGAAGTAGGGACTGCAGCGGCTGCTCTTTCATCAGTGTTTGTCCATATGCCTGCCCCAAGGACCCATGCATCCCCCCCTCCCAAAGCAAGAGCATGTGTAGCTGGGCCCAGCCACCCCTTCAGTAAAGATAATTTGTTGCTTATTTTGAATATGGTTTGTGAGACCTAGAGATATTTAGTTTTTCTATTTCCATCGAGGTACTATGCTTTTAAGCGCTGTGAACGTGTGAATACATTTATTATTATTTTTTAATGTTATTATGTTTATTAATTTACTCTATTTATTACACATTTATTATTATTACATTTATAATTTCACTTCATTATTATTTATATTACATTTATTATTTTACACTCTTATTATTGAAAGGATATGTAAGCACATTCACATTGAAGAAAGTTACAATAATGGTTTAATCAGAGTTGGACAGTCTTATCTTAAATTACAGTTTTATGTAACTATTCAAAAACATTTAACCTACTGATGCTTCAATGTAATTTTTTTGGTATCTATTTTTATTTTGAAATTTACCAGTAGCTGCTGCATTTCCCACCATTGGCTTATACTTGAGTCAATACATTTTCCCATTTTGTTGTGGTAAAATTAGATGCCCCGGCTTATATTCGGGTCAGCTTATACTCAGGTATGTACGATATCCCAAAAAGCCTGAGCTGACTGTTTCACAGGTCATTGTGAGGACTGTACCTTAACTCTCCTCAAAAAAGAAACCACCTTCATCTCTGTATAAAGTAGCAAAAGGCAAGAGCTTAGTTCATCCCAGGAGAACCTTAAAAGAAGCATTGATCCACTTTTCTTTCCCTGTTGTGGCACTGCTTCTCATCCTTTTGAATGCATGGATGGGAAAATGATATTGATGCCCTCTCCACAAAATGACCCCCATCTAACCCATGCAATATATCAAAATCCACAACTTTGGCCCCAAAACATTGCCTTGACTTATACATGAGTATATACTGTACTTGTTTTGAAGAACATGTTCCTTTGTGACTTTGCAAATATATTTTAATCTGGTATATTTAATCTATTGCAGGCCAGTTTTTCTGTATTACAGAGCCCAGTTATTGGAGCTATACCAACAACTCCAGGAACAGGTAGGACTTCTTGTGAAACTTGTTCTGTTTCATATAATGCCCTGGCATATTTAACCATATCCTTCTCTGATAAAATGCAGTGTTAGCTATAGCATACTACAGTTTTGTGACCAACCCACTGCTTCTGAAATGTGTATACAACTAAAAATATGTAGCAAACCTGCTGACATGATCCAGTTTTCTCTTAGGTATTCAAATAATCTTCTGTGTCCGTGTCTTTTTAAAATTTCATTCTAATGTTACTGTACTAGAAAGCTTAATTTGTTCATGTTTGTTCCTGTAGGGTGTGGCATATTTGTTTCTTGGCTTCAAGCACCCTGTAACTCAGTTGTCTTAGTTTCTTGGCATAAAGGCATGCTTTGAGTACTCAGTGACATTAAAGGCATGTCTTCCAACAATTTGACAGGTGCAAATGTGTTCAGCCCAGCAAGTCTTGCACAACCCAGGAAAACAGCAATGTCTCCAGCTCAGCTAGATCCATTCTATACTCAAGGAGACGCTCTAACATCAGAAGATCATCTGGATGACACTTGGGTAACTGTGTTTGGGTAAGGAATAGCACAATTTACTATGTTTTCTGAGACCTGTTATACAAAATTGATGATGTGTCTTGAGTATGAATCTTAGAAAGCTTAACTTTTTGAGTGCCTTACGTGTAAGCTCTGTACCAGAATGGTAAGAAGGCTGTGACCCATAAGAAGTAATGGGTTGAATATGGATGTCTACAGTGCTAACACAAAGTATTTTTCTGTATGGATGAGTTTGATTGCTGTTGCATGTGGGTGTCGGCATTAAATTATATTAATCATGTATTTAGAATCTCAAATGTGTTCAGTGTTACCATATATTTATTTTATACTTAGGCTATAACTATTGAAAGCAGTTTATGTATTAACATTGGCCAATAATTAAAACATTCAAAACATTTTTTTAAAATTTTTAACTGTAAAATTTATTTTATTGTATTAACCCCCTGGTGGTGCAGTGGGTTAAACTGCTGAGCTGCTGAACTTGCTGACCGAAAGGTTGGCGGTTCGAATCCAGGGAGCAGGGTGAGCTGGCAGTTCGAAAACATGCAAATGTGAGTAGATCAATAGGTACCGCTCTAGCAAGAATGTAACGGCACTCCATCCAGTCATGCTGGCCATATGACCTTTGAGGCGTCTACGGACAACACCGGCTATTTGGCTTAGAAATGGAAATGAGCACCACCCCACAGAGTCGGACACGACTAGACTTAATGTCAAGGGGAAATCTTTACCTTTACTTTTATTCCAATATAGTTCCATTATGCCTCAATTTCTTTGATTCTAAGACACACTTTTTCCCTATACAAAACATCTCTAAAAATGGGTAAATCTCAGAATTGCAGGTGTATCTCATGTATTTTTGTTGGTGATGGTACTAAGGTACCAAATCTTGCAGGAAACACTTGCAGGAAATACTGTTATATATGTTGGCCCAAAAGGAACTTAAACAATAGTTAACAAGATTGGCCTTAACTGATATAACTCTCTGGCAACACTGATAATGGCATAACATTTAGGCACTGACAACAGACTTGAGTAAAAAACAGTTACATTTGTTTTAAATCCAGTGACAGTATGAACCTTGTTGTTGTTACAGGTTTCCACAAGCATCAGCTTCGTATATACTACTACAGTTTGCACAGTATGGGAACATCTTAAAGCATGTGGTAAGTCTTGATGCTCCTCTTTTTCTCTTAAATAAACCATGGCTTTTAGCTTGGATTCTTACTCTATTTTCTCTTTCTCTATTTTTTGCGAATCTTTGCAGATGTCTAACACAGGAAACTGGATGCATATTCGGTATCAGTCAAAACTTCAAGCCCGGAAAGCCTTGAGCAAAGACGGAAGAATTTTTGGTGAATCTATCATGATTGGAGTGAAACCTTGTATAGATAAAGTGAGTTGATTTACAGGCTTTTACAAACATGCATTTTGGGAACTCTTACTTAATAATAATAATAATAATAATAATAATAATAATAATAATAATAATAATAATAATATATTTCTAGACTGCCCCCTCTCCCCAGAGGGCAAACATGGGCAAACATTCAGTGCCTCGAAATGGGTGCAAACACATCAAAATAATACAGGATAATGGATAGTAACAACAGTAAACTTACAACGAAGGAATTGAGCATCTAAATAAAAAAATCCACTAAGACATAAAGAACTAAAACACGAGTAAACATTACAACATACATCCTAAAAGCAAATTAAGAAACATTACATTGCATTAAAAATGGCTGACACTGGTGCTTCATCTAAGATGTATCATAGCAGCCATGTAATACAAATGGGTTAGGCAGCTTCCAGTGGCTTAATGTAATGCATTGTGGGCGCATGTACACTGTCATTGAACTAATGCCTATTCCCTATGCTTTGTGAAATAAGAAAACTACTGGTAACTTGTTTGCAATTTATAAAATAACTATAGTTGTTTTAGGTCAGTGATGGATAAAGTGTGGTCCATGAAAGATGAATAGCCTCTCTTGAAAGTTTCTAGTTCAGTTCTGGTATTTTAGTGGTCTAATAGTCAAATAGTCTTTTTGATCGAGAGTAAAAGTTAATCTACTGTAATGAGCTGGAGCTAAAATATATTTTCTCTGGAAGAAATGCATAACATTTTCATTGTTGTGAGAACCAGTTTTGACAAATTCTTAACTTTGAAAGTATCATAATAATAATGCATTTTATTTATCACCCGCCTCTCCTGACATCATAAGCTTATTCAGTGACCATACTAAATTCAGTGGAATTTACTTAAGTTTTTTTCCTCAGAAGTCCAGTGGGATTTAATTATTTCTAAGGGCATAAAGGGATTTAGTATTTGCGTTAATCAATATAAGAATTCTCATAGAGGTACTTTAATATATTGAAATATTTTAATGTTTACTATTTTTAACTTTAAAATTGTCTTTTATTTATATTTTGATTTTGTATCATTTTAACTTGTATTGTTCTAATATGTTGTTATCCACCTTGAGTCCCATTATCAGGAGAAAGCTAGGATGAAAATGAATAAAACAAATAATAAGAAAAATTAAATTGTCAGAAATTGTGAACCCTGATTATTAACATATTTATGTTCTTTTTACCTATGTTTTATCTGAATGCAGTATGTGCTTGAACAATCTTTACTAATGCAGGTAGTCTTGTACACTTCTATATAGAAAAGAAGTAGTGTTTCAGAATACCGCTGGTGATTAAGATTACCTCTCTCCTCATCTTCCTTTGTACCCTGCATTATTTCTCCATAAAAGAGACTAAAAAAATACAACACAATACAATTTAAGCCTAAAATTAAAATAGAATTAAATATTAATGGTATCAAAAATAAACCCTTAAAACCGATTAAAAACCTGTTCATAGCTAAAGCCACAGCAATCCCTAGTTTGATCTTTAAAACTCTGACTTCTAAAATATGAACTCAGATTCAGGTATCTTAATATTTTTATTAATATTTAAAAATGCATACTTTATTTGTAGAGTGTGATGGAAATCATGGATAGAAGCTCCACATCATCCCCAAGCTCAGTCTTTACGCCTCCAGTGAAAGCACCAGGCACACCGGTCCAGCCTTCGAGTACACAGCGGATTTCCACTATGAGGCCTCTTGCTACAGCGTATAAAGCTTCGAGCAGTGACTACCAGGTACTTAAAAGAAAGTATTGTGAGGCAAACTACAGGCTTGCTGTTATGGAGTAAAGGAACTGATTGATATTTACACATTTGTCTTTTCTAGGTGGTTTCTGACAGACAGACTCCAAGGAAAGATGAAAGCATTGTGTCCAAAGCTCTGGAATACATGTTTGGCTGGTAGTCCAAATCAAACTGAGTAAATGTGTCTAGAGCCTATAACAGACTGCCAGCGTTTCTGGTTAGTTGTATAACCATCGGTGGTAGCACTTCAGACATTAGCGTTGCCTTCTGAGCTGAATTTGGCACACATGTAATATGCACTTTAACCAACATCTGGTTCTACACTTGATTCCTAAGAGATTGAATGTTTGCTTGTCTGTTCTTTGGTCTGTCTGCTATGGAGATTGCATGAATGGGTGAAACTGACTTGTAAGAAAGAAAAAAGTCATTGGTTTCAGGTCATGACAGCACTGCATGGTTTCCCAGTTGCATGGTTCTCTTTCTGTCTGGAAGAGTTATATGGTTAGCTGGAGGATATGCTGTGTAGAGACTGAGATACACTGCATGAAGGGACATTGTCGGTTTTAAACCAAATATTGTCGTTTGAATGCTCTCCCCTACATAATCGGTGTTTGTATAAACTTTGGTCAGGTTGATTCTAAATGTACCAATGTTCCAAAATGTTTTTAAAAACGCTTTCTTAATAAAAATTGTGGTGCTACAGATTTGTGATCTGATCATGGTTTGTGCAACTCATTATTATATGACATTTTTATACAAATACTGCTGCCGGTGTTTCAGAAATAAATCTCTTTAGACAATCAATGTACATTATTGCATAGTTCCACAACTGAACAATGAAATAATTAAAAAAAAAAAGATAAGATCACAATTAACTATGTTCAACATCTAGAGCTTTTTCTGGAAAAAAATATACAGTTCTTACACTTTGTTCAGTGGCACAATATGGCCCTATATAAGATCGAATCTGGAGTTTTCATGTATTCTATTTGAAATAGATAGGCCAGTGTGGATGGGTTGTATTTATAAAAGTACTGTGCCTTACATTTCTCTAGTAGAGAATGTAAAACTAGGAGGAAATGAGCTAAATACATTTGGTAGTCCCATTTAAAGTAAACCTATTAAATTAATGGTGCTTAAATTAACACTTGTGTAAACCTCATTTATTCAACAAATCCTAAAGACTAGATCTACACTGCTAAATAATGCAGTCCGATCTACATTATTTGACCATGTAAATCCAGCCCAAATGTAGGCTTGTTGTAAAGACACCATTGGCCTTTCCACACAGCCCTATATCCCAGAATATCAAGGCAGAAAATCCCACAATATCTGCTTTGAATTGGGTTATCTGAATCCACACTCAGAAAATGTGAGATTTTCTGCCTTGATAATCTGGGATATAGGGCTGTGTGGAAGGGCCCCAGATCCCATCTAATCTTGAAAGCTACGATGAGTCAGCCCTCATTGAATGAGAGTCTTCCAACAAATACCAAGTACTCTAGACTGCATTTCAAAGGAAGGAACTTATAAAACCACCTCAAAGAATATTCCTTGCATAAGAAAACCCTTTGATAATTCCTTGTCTATGAAAGCTCCATGGGGTAGTTATACATCGCTAGTCGACTTGAAGGCACGTGCATCTGGATGCACATAATAATGATGATACTACTACGACTGCTGCTGCTGCTAATAATAATAATAATAATAATAATAAGCAGAGGCATAACACCGTTGCTCAGATGATTAATTGGAACTTGTGCCACAAATACCATCTGCCTGCGACAACAAAGGATTCCCCCGGGCAGGAAGCAGCCATTCAATGCTAATCAAGGTGGCAAATTACAACATTCACTTTCCTCAAGCAGATGTGTTCTTCAACCTTGGACATTCCACAGGTATATAAATCTCACTTGTCTAGTTTCCAACAGACCTCACACCCCCTGAGGATGCCTGCCATAGATGTGGGTGAAATGTCAGGAGAGAATACTTCTGGAACATGGCCATACAGCCCAGAAAACTCATAGCAACCCAGTGATTCTGGCCATGAAAGCCTTCAACAACACAATCTTCATAATTCAACACATAGAACAAGAATTACTTGAAATGATTCGAACAAGACAAGCTGTAATAGCCTGAGGATGGGAAAAAAATGGACTATAGAAAATTGGAAAAACTATATTTACGATCAGGTCAAATCCAAAACCATAGCATATGTTATTTGGGATGATACACAGAAGGATAAAACAAATTAAAAATAAATGAAAGATATATATAATGAATAGACGGAAAGAATTTTGGTACAATTTCCCACCCCTACATGTTATAGATATGCATGAGATTTTGGAACATCGGGCTTATGGCAGTGTAGCAGCATCCTGAAAGTGTTTGGTTGGATTTTGCTACAGCTGGATCATGGCATCCCTCTGGAAGATGATGAATAGGTATTTGATGCTGGATAAAATAGGAATGAATGGGTCTCATTGCTTACTGACTTAAAATAAGTGCTTGACACCTCTAGTGTTTTAGAACATAGTGAAAAATGATGTATTTTATCTATGAAGATTAAAGACCTTGCCCCATGTGCAAGCTGAAAGTGATTGGATTGATAGAAGTGCTTAAAAACAATGTCAATATTTAATGCTTTCATAAAACATAATAGTCATGTGCTCTCTGTAGTTAATGAAACATTTTCTGTGGTTGTAATTCGCTCCACTGCTTTGGCAGACAGTTTTTGCGGTGTGTTAGCACACTGCTAAAGGTTCCTGTCACTTCAGAATGAATGAAATGCATCTAGGTAGTCATAATAAAAGTGGCATGTGCTAAATCTTCTGCTTCCCTCTATTCTGTCAAAGGTATGTATAATATGCAGATCTAAGAGGTTTTTAAGATGCTTGCAAAGCCAGCACTTAACAATATGGGGGGAGGGGAAATGATTGAATAAATGGAAAAGGAACCAGGTGGCTACATAGAAGCGGTCACAATTCATTTATCTACAGTTATATGTTATAGATATGTGATATTTTTATATGTGTGAGACATTGAATTTGCCATTTATTATGTTATAAACCGCTTTGAGTCCCTCCAGGGGTGAGAAAAGTGGTACAGAAATGCAGTTAATAATAAATAATATAATAATGTTAGTGTTTAGTTCCAGGACCTCCCATGAACATCAAAATCCATTAAGCCCATTGTTATATATACTGTGGCATAGTAAAATGATGCTCCCTATATAAAATGGCAGACAATATAGTCGTCGTCCCCCCCCCCCCCCCCCCCAAATACACAAACTTTGAATCCGTGGATGCCGAACTTGTGGAGACAGACAATTACTTGGGTGGGAGACTGCCAATGAATATCATGGGCTGTATTTCAGGGGAAAGAAATGATTACTCCACCTCTGAGTATCACTTTTCTAAGAAACCCCATGAAATTCATGATGTTGCCAAAAGTCAACAGGCAACTTGACCATGCTCACATATGCACAGGTTACTGGATAGATCACTTATGAAATGAGATGCTGCTTTTAAAATATTGTTTGAAATGCTTATTAGAATTTTAAAAACCCAAACTGATTTCATGTACATGACTATGTTCAAATTTAGTGGGATTTAATTCCTGATTAAATATGCATGTTACTGGAATATGACTCATTGCTTTGATCAGACTTCTGCGGTGCCTTTTCATGTTTCCTTTAATTGCTTCTCAATACTGGCTTATTGCATTATATCATGGACGTTTAAGTAAACTATATTTTCTTAGAGCCTATCGCAGATCTGCCAGTGTAATCAGGGGAAATAATCACTAAAGTACTGTTGGGATGTATGTGTACTTTTTGGAAAATTCTTCCCTCGCATAGGCGTCCTTCAAGAGATGACTGCCATCTTGTGGTATCTCCCTGAAGCAGTTTCAGTGTGGAAGTAACCTGAAGTAATTTTCAGTAACAGGGTCTGAAAATTGTACAGTCAGCAGCGTTATCTCAGTAATTGTGTACGCCATCTACAGTTATACTTGCTTTTAAGAGAAAAAGAGCATCTAATCTTCCCAATCTTTGAAAATATTGGCTAGGATGAGTATACTGAGCTTCTCGGGCAAACTGTTTTTAAGTCTTCCTTTTAGGAGTTACTGCATTTGCCGCGATTGTGACTATCTTTGATAAAAGTCATGGTGCGGAGATACCGATATCGATGTATGCTTGGACATAAACACTGCAATGGATATTTGTGCTTTATCTCCACTTCTCCCTGTGAATCTGTTGCTTAGGCTGATAGATAAAAGGGAGAGTGACTTCTATTGGAAGAACACTGATTTGCAGTAAAAGATTTTCTAACATTTACTTAACAATGGCATAGTTAGCAGTCAGTCTTCTCTAGGTCTCAATGTGCCTGACATGTAAAATTGGAGTTGTTCCCCTGAACTGGACATTTTCAGAGATAATCACCCTCTGTAATTTGCACTTTTATATTTAACCTTATGCAGTCTTATTCAAGGGCTCTTCACCAATTACTTTTATACCTCCCTGGGTTGGTTAGAATTGGTTGTGAGGTTCTATCTATAAACCAGTGGTTCCAACCTGTAGCCCGTGGACCTCCAGTGGTCCTCAAGAACTAAAATATGATCGGTGGCCTCACAGTTTCTACACAGTTGCAACGAGAGCGACTGGTCTCACAAAACCCTCTTATAGTGCTAAGGTTTATTAAATATGGTTTTCTGTGGGTGGGCAGATGGCAATTACTGGATGGTATATGTTCTGTATCAGAAACTAGAGTTGATGTGGTCTATCCAATGCAATTTTCTGAATCAGCACCCCAGTAACCAAACTGAATCTAAAGTTGACCAAAAACTAATCCGTAGCCCTTTTGGTACTAATGTTGGGAAGTGGTTCCTGGTCAAATTGGTCCCTGGTCAAAAGATGGTGGGGAACCACTGCTATAAACAAAAGTCCTGCAAAATTGGAACGTTTTCCATTAGAAGCTGCACAAAGGAATGGATCATAATGTAGAAAGCTTACAGTAGAACACCAATGTTTAGCATTATAAAATTGGGGAGCAATCAATCTTGACCCACACATTTCTGACAGCAGATAAAATGTGTGACTGCCCCATTTTAACAGTTTGGGAACAGCTTTGGCATATATGACCATATATGACCATTGTGAAAATGAACTTGGAATACATATAACAAAAGCAAGGAAATTGTAATACCAAGAACGATAACATGAAAGTGCAGTTGAGCAATTGCAAGGCTGATTCTGGTGGCAGAGGATGGAATTTATTATCCATTTTCAATATGCTCCTTTTGAACCTCCTTTCTCTTCTGCTCTCCTAATCTGTTTCCTTCATCAGGCTACAGTACAGGACTTTATCACACCAGCTTGTCATAATCATGTTGCTTAAACAAACAGAAACCATTATTGGAGCAATCTCTCTCACTTTGGCACATTATTGTGCGATGCTGGTACATTGTTGATGTGAGTTCCTGTGATCAGACTTCTGTACAACCATGCTTCCTACACATATTTGCTCTACTAGGGCATTTGCACTGTGGTCTCTCCCTCATTTTTAACCATCACCCCCCAATTTGGTCACAACTACACAGTCTGGGCATTCTTGCCAGACCTTCCTTCACTTTGCAATACTGGGACTGGAGTATAGAATCATAGAATCAAAGAGTTGGAAGAGACCTCATGGGCCATCCAGTCC